TGATGGATACATTACACTATATTCGATGGTGATAAGGAACAAATTCATTTTATAGATTTATACAAAAACTGTCTATTCTTAATTATAAGCAATTTCGTTGACACAGTAAATATAGGTCTTAATTTGATTTAGTAGAAATAATATGAATATATAATAGTAGTGCACATGAAAAACAGTTAGTTGTCCAGCATCTTCTACAACAATACTACTAAAATATTTAGTTTGTTTAAATAATTTTCTAGCTATAATAATAGAAACTCTCAGAAATAATATAAAGAAACACTTTTGTTGAGATTTATAAATTTAACAAATAAATTTTTGCTATTTAAAAAGAATCCTAAATAAAGCAAACAATTAAGACTCTTCAGAACAAAACTGACAGAACTAATTTAGTTCTTAATGATCGAAGATATTCACTTAAGAATTCATTTCTCTTTAAATAATATGATCACTCATTTATTAGTTATTATTGATCAAATGTTGGCAAAGGTTTTTCGATGAGGAAAACAATGTCGACATATATTTTGCATTAGATATTGAATACTGATACTTTATTTTGTCTTTGCATATTGATGGCTTTTTTCCACAAATGTGTTGTGAAAGAAAAGCGTATACAATTTCAAGTACAGTAGCTCAAATGAATTCACTTATATCCTATGCAATATCGTCAACAATAACCTACATTTCATTTGACTATTTGAGATATTCATTTGTATATAATATCTAGAGAATATTATCAGTCAAGTTATTTATTTCTATTGAATTTCACATGTTACTTTTTATTTTTTTTTCAATTATCACCAAACTGCAATGGTCTTTTCATGTGAGAAGTGATACTTTTTTTTATTTTAACATATGAATAGTTCTAATTGGTACATTATTTATAAATAACAAAATAAGACGATAACTCACAGTTAGACAATTTAAGAACGTTAGATTTGTACTTTTTATATTTTGGGATGAACACTCAAAATGCAGTAACCTACAGACTTTTCCTTTGGAAAATATTGTTTTAGAACAATATGATTTTATGATTTTGTTTCGGCAATATTTATGCACTGTTTTCATGAAAAAGCGTTATGAAGTCCCGTTCTTAGCAACGGGTGTGACTGTTGGAGGGATTACAGAAGTTTTGCCAAGATGTAGGATATCTTAGGTCAGAATTCGAGTACTTCCTGAATGGATTCACTCACTACTACTTTCGAACAAGAAGAGTCAACTTTCCAAGTAGATCTTGACAAGCTCTATCAGATGCATACCTTTTTCCTCGCCAGAACCACTTTTATCCTGCCCAAAATCTCGAAAAATCGCAAAAAAAACAATGAACAATCAGCAAAATTTTCGTAAAACCCGTCACGATTCGCCTAGATCAACTCTCCAACGTGAAGACACAACTCTCCAAATAGATCTCGACGTGCTCTGCTAAATGCACGTATGATGAATTCAGTGCCACCCTCTGGTGTTGCCAAGAAAATGCATAAAAGCTCGAGAATTCCAGGTTTTTTTGATGATTTTTCGGATTTCAGTTGAATTTTCGGAACATTTTTACTTTAGACTCACAAAAATGGAATTGATAGTTTTGAATAGAAGGAAACTAATAAAATAAAGAATTTGAATAAATCAAATGCGTTTAAAAAATGTGAATATATGAATACAATGAATGAAAACTAAAGCGAATAAAATGAACTGAAAACAACTGAAATACAGAGAAATTATTCATTGATGGTCTTCATGAATTGATCTATAGGTCACATAATGTAAAATAAAATAAAGTAAGATCAGAAAATAATTGTACATGTAGTCAGTTTATCGATACACTGTAGTAAATGAAATTAAATGTATACAAAATTAGATTAAAATGTTGAATAAGATTTCAGAATAGGTCAACCCAATCTTTTTTGTCTAATTTTTACTTATTGGATCTACATTGAAGAAGAAAAAATTAAAAAAAGCTCAATATCAAATAAAAACATTATTGTTGTTCTTGTTTGTTGATTATATACATTTTGATTCGTTATCATTGAATAAAGATAAAATGATGCGATGGCATCTTCGCCCACATTGAATATTTTTTTTTTGATTCTCTAATCTGTAAAAGAGAAACGTGGGAAAAAATGTTGTTGTTGAAATTTTATGTTAACATAGTGGCACGTTCCTAGGACTTATTTAATAAAATCGGAGGATGCACATATTCTGAAAAAAATGTGATTATCTGCAATAAACAAGATGATACAAAGTCCATTTCCCTCTTCATCCTATATAAACATAGTAGTATTCTTTTCTATCTTCATTTCAATATCAACTATATAACAAGTAAGTATTGATTATTCAGTTCAGTTAAGTGCCTTATCTGTTGCAGACGTTGGCTACCATGATACGCCATTTTCTCTGGTCCTGTGCCGCGTGAAGAAAATCTATTTTCTCATATCCTTGTTTTTCAATCCATAGGTTCATGCTTTCGAGTGACTTCATTCTTTGTCTTTCTTTGAACAGATCTTACCACTCAATACTTGGTGTTCCAAGCAGCCTTTTCGGATTACATGATCGATGATTTTCAATTGCCTATACCGGATGGTATTCACCAAACATCTTTTCCATTTCATTCTTCTCATTATCGACTCATTGCTTTCGCCGGCTGTCCAAGACACACCCAGCTTCTTTCTTAGGATCCATATCTCTGTAGCTTCTAAACGTTTTACCATTTCCTTGTTGATTGTTCAACATTCAGATCCATAAAGAAGAACGAATCACCTACACCCTTTGAGGACCCTTGTTTTAGTGTTGATAGATATGGTTCTGTTTTTCAGAACTGGACTCATTTTTTGGAATGCTTATTTGAAGAGAGCAATTCTCTTTTTGATCTTTTCATCACACCGTCCATCTGATGTTATGGTGGAGCCCAAATAGTTGAAGCGTACAACTTGTTTGATTGGCTCTCCATTTATATTCACGTTGCATGTTGGTGGACTTTTATTCTTTGAAATACTCATGCATTCTGATTTCTTAACATTTAGTGACAGTCCCATCTTTATGCTTTCTCTTGAAACCGCATCAATCATTCTCTGGAGGTTTTCTTTAGTACTGACAATAAGTACGGTGTAATCGGCATATCTGAGGTCATTACAGTTTATAGCCTCCAATTTTCACTCCTTCTAAATCTTTTAGATTTCTGAGTATCATTTCACTATAGATGTTGAAAAGATCTGGGGATAGGACACATCCTTGTCTGACACACCTCTTGATATTTATGTATTCACTGGTATCATTGTTCACTTTCATGGCGGCTTTTTGATCCCAATAAAGATTTCGTACTAATCGCAGATCGTTACCATCAATATCGAGTTTTTCTAGAATTTGAAATAGATTGTCGTAGTTGACTTTGTCGAACGCTTTTGTGTAGTCGAGGAAGCAGAGATATATATCGTGTTTGACTTCTATGGCTCTTTCGATTAGCATCCGAAGGATGAAAATTGCATTTCTGGTGCCCTTATCTGTCGTGAATCCATACTGTTCTTTTGCTATTTCTGGTCTGATCTTGTTTTTCATTCGCATCATAAAAATCTTGAGTAGAACCTTTGTCACGCGACTCATGAGATTGATTGTACGATAGAGTTCACATTCAGTGGCTCCAGAATTTTTTTGGAAGGGCTATGTATATTGATTTGGTTAAGTCTTCCGGGATTTCACCGGTATCATATATTTTGTTTATTAATTTTGTGATGGTATCCACACCTAGTTCATTGAGATTTTGAAGCATTTCAGCAAAGATTCCATCAGGGCCAATTGCCTTGTTACTTTTCATTGATTTTATAGCTTGCCTCACTTCGTCCTTCATAATTGAAGGCCCTTTCATATTTTTCTTCATGTTAGGTTTAGACATTCTATTATCATCAAAAAGTTCTTCTATGTACTCCGACCACCTGTTCAATATTTTACTTTTTTCCATGAGAATAGTTCCACTTTTTGATTTGATACAGCCTGAGCTGGTGCATGTTGATTTTCCTGTAACTTCATTGATTTTTTTATGAGCGTACCTGGTGTTCACATTCAATTTGTTCTCAATCTCTGAACATTGCTCATTCAACCATTTCTCTTTTGCCTCTGAGCACTTGTTCTTGATTTCTTAGTTTATTGAGTTGTATTCAAGTAGATTTGAGTTCTTGAGTCGTCTTTGTTCCATTAGTTTTAGGATGTCGTCAGTCATTCATTTCCTCTTTTTGTTCATTTGAGCTTTGGGGAGTACTTCTTCAGCAGATGCCGTTGATCGAGGATTTCAGCTGCTCCCATAATATCTCAGTCTCTGTAATTTCGCTTGTTTCGCTCAACGCTTCAAGCCGGTTCTGTACCTTTATTCTGAATTTTTCTTTCATGTCTAGGTCAGTTTTGAGAAGGTGGACTTGAAGCTTTGGATTTTTCTTTGGTTCTCTTAATCTTTTTAGTTTTACTCGAAACTCACTGATAACTGGAATACGATCACTACCACAGTCTGCTCCATGAAATACTTTGGAGGAGATCACAGAGTTTCTGAAGCGATGAGGGACCATAGTGTAGTCTATTTGATTTCTAGCCCGGTCTCTGGGGCTTCGCCATGTCCATAGTCTACGCGGGTGATTCTTGAACCATGTGTTCGTGATGACAAGATCATGTGATTGACACCAGACTACCAGATTATTTCCTCTTTCGTTGTTGTTTCCTAGACCAAAAGGTCCTACAGTATTGCCAATTACTTCGTCTCCCACTTTTGCATTGAAGTCTCCTATTACGTAGATAATGTCATGTGAGTTGCATTGTGTGTAGGCTTTGTCTAGTTCTTCGTAGAAATTTGTTACTGCATCTTCGGCATAGTCAGCTGTCGGTGCATAACCTTGAATGAAGGACATATTGAAAGGTTTACAATGCAGTTTTACAAGCAGAACTCTGTCTGAAACCGCCCAAAAGCCTTTTACACTATCGGAGGCTTCTCTGTCAAGGAGTATGCCTACTCCTCTCTCGTGTTGATCTCCTCCAGAGTAGAATACACACTAAAATAAAATGTGTCGTATATATGTGTCGTACAAGAATGTGTCGCAGACTCCATTATAAAAATGTGTCGCACAAAAATGTGTCGCATTATAGATGTGTCATAGCCTATATGTCAATCGTTCATTCACCGTTTTGTTTCGCGAGTGCAGCTGCATATAACCGAGCCTATTGGACGTGCTTGACTTATACATTTTCGTA